TATCTTCCGATCCTCCTGTTGAGAAAGGGATGTAGTGCTAAGGTAAGGCAATTGCCACAAACCATTCTGACAAACTTCAGCCACCAGAGCGCGAGTAGGAACTCCTAACAGGGATGGTCCAAAGCCGCTGAGGAAATCTATGAATCTGTCAAATGATGTCCATGTATCAAACCATAAAGAGGTGTTTTTACCATCACCTAGTCGAGTGTGTAATAGTGGGGAAGCCTAACAAAAACGAATTGTAACTCATACTCTTGTAAGTTAATAGTAAGGTATAAATACCTTGTGTTTATAACGTATGTTGTATTTCACCTTTTTTATTATCCAAAAACGTCGATGAAACCAAGCTTGTCCAACCGCCAGTTGCCATTGTCAGGGAACGATATTAAAAGTTGAAATCTCCGGATCTGTCAAGTCGGTGGGAAGACAAATTCAGGTCTGTATGATCGTTGTTGTTGAGAAAGCAGAGATTATCACCGTAATCCGACATAGTAGAAGAAAAGGATCCTATTTTTCGGGGAACAACGCGAAATCCGACAAAAAGCAATGGACGGGATGATGAATCAAAGGAAGGGGAGAGATTAATGGGTGCAAATGAATGGAAACTTTAATATTTTGGAGATTAGCCCTCTTCACATACACTCTTTGCACAAAGGCAAACATAAATAATCTTGGGAACGAAAACAAGGATCATTGACATTACTATTACATTCACCTAACTTGTGCAAACCTCGCTTTATTTTAAAACTTCTCACGAAATTTCCGATGGCTAAATATATTAGAAATGTTATCCAAATCGAATATTGCCCTCGAAAGCTAGAATAGATGACATTCGAATCGTCAATCCGCCTTTTATTTTTCAGGTACAAAGTTCACGCGCAACGCCAAGCCTGTTGTTGGTGCCGTCAATGAGAATACGGTGGTTCTGCTGCTGCATACTCGCGATAACATTGAGAACGGAGTTAACGTTGTCTGGGGCAGCTGCCATGGCGAGGCAGGTGGTGCTACCTGCAGTGCTGCGGATGAGGAAGTTGTCCTGAGGCAATGTCACGTTCATTCCCGCGAACATGAAGGTAATTGTCGGGGCGACAATGGGGCCGTTGAAGCAAGTGTCGAAACCGCCTAGAGATGTAACGTTCGCGTTCTTGATTCGACGCCTGAATTCGTCTCTCACCGCGACGTAAGCCGGTTCAACCAGACGCGTGAACACAGTCCCTAACGTGACAGAATGACACAACGGACTTTTTAAAATGATTGATGAAACTTAACATGTACCATCTCATCTGTAATATTGTATATTTGGAAGTGAGCGCGCAAAAAACATTCCAAAAAAAAGGTAATCTTGTTCGCCGAAAAGAAATAATAATTATGAAATTTTAGAATCAAAACTTGAAAAATCAATATGGAGTTTCAATTCCACTTTGCCCAAATTATTAAATATTTCCTTAAGAGGAAATGCCCTTACTTATAAAATTAATGTAGCGTATATTCAGGCAAAAAAATATATAGTTTGGACTGTTCTAGGTTTATTGAACAAAAATTGCGTGATTTTCAAATTTAATTTACGAAGAAAATCAGAATTACCGGAATCAATGACGGTGCCAGCGCCAGTGACCGGGTCAAAAGCCAAAGCACTCGGGGGAATATCGACGACCTTGTTCCCGACACGAATCCCAACCAAATTCACGTAATAAAGAGACGATCTTCTTGGGTTTTTCAGCAAAGGAGTGGTCTTTATACTCACCGGTTGACCCACTGGTCCCAATCTCAACGACCCAGAGAAGTTCTGCGACCTAAAATTAGGTAAACAATACGAAAATGTGGATTTGTACAAGTCTTGGGTTTGCGACATTAACGACAATGAGCCACGGCCTAAGCCGAGGAGCCCTTGCGGCGGCAGAGAGTTTCCGGTGGCTTTTCCGATGCATCCGAAGGTGTAATTCGGGATCGAGTCCTTTGATAAGGTCAATGTATCTTGTGTGAGGTTCGCGGCTATGGCCGAGCCACCGTAGGTCATGTTGAATGCACACGCTCCGTCGTTGCAAGTAGGGTTAGGGACCTGCAAAGTTCATGGCCGATTTAGTGTGTTCTGTTTTTATTTTATTTTTATAGAGAAAACTTCATCAAATATATACCAAGATTACATTATACAGAACAGAGTCGAAGTGAATCCGTATCTTTTTATACCAATTGTATATGGATCTAAATGTTTTTAGCTCCAAAATCATTGTTTTGTTGCACGAGTTTGTATATTTAAATTATATTGTATTTATCTATGTAGTAGCATCATTCATTGGGCATTTTCCTCTAATGAACCTGTTGGGTCGCACCTATTTCAGAGGTACACCACCGAAATTATAAGTCATTAATTTTTTTTGAAAAGACTGTATTACCCTTAATGAATCCGCGTATTTTGTTAGTGTGAAAACGACTTTGTTATTACGACTTCATAATTAATTCTAAATACAGTTGCAATTGATTCTAAACAAAGTGACAAAAAATTCATCTGTCAAATTTTAAAAATAGCTACGTTTTTTTTGGCACTTTCATCTTCATACGATCATAACTACTTATTTTAGTTGTATATTAGTTATATGTCAGTCGTAATAAAATCGTAAAAAAAATGAAAAAGGATATTTCGGACTTTTTCAACCGAAAAGTGGTGTAAAAAATTGAAATTTTTTTTTTGTTTTTTTCGATAGTGTACCAGAGAAATTTATGCGACCTAAATAGGTCATTTGAGTAAAAACCCCCATTCATTAGAGAGCCATATACTCATATGTGATATATAAGAACAATACTCTATCTAATACCTAATGATTGCTATAATACTTATAATTTATCGTTACCATGCCATTTTTTTTTCTTATCTAAATTTTGTAAATACAAATAGTTCGCCACCCATCTAATTCTTCCAAATCCATGGACTAATCTCGTGACGATAGACTTGTCGTGCAGCGTGAAATAAACGCCAAAAATATAATGCACATGTTTCTAGGAATAAAATCATGTAACGATGCGATCCACACGCTAAACGCTGATAAAAATGAATTAAATCTAAATTATATAAAATAATAAAAAATATAATACTTTTTGATAAAAATGAATTAAAATTTGATATCAAGATATGTACCGACCCCTCACGGGAACCCCATTTTTACCTGCTTGCACTGGGAAGCTTGACAGTCAAGTGACCTAAATGAAGTGGACTTGGACGAGTCAAAGGTCACAGAAGAAGAACACCCAACACAGCCCGTGCAAGGAACCCAAGCAGCGTCATTGCCAATGTCCAAAGCCACGAGCATCGGCTGCGGCGGAGTACCGATGTTCACCCTAACAATGTACGTCGGACTCTGAACGATTTGACGGCCCGAAGCGATCGGAACGACGGATTTTCCTGCCACCGCGAGGCTGGACAAGTACAGGAGACGAGCCTTGTCCCTGTTCTGAAATTGAAGGAGAGTGTTTTCCCATGATAATTGCTTCGAGGGTTTGTACGGTGAACATGCCCCAAAAATGTGGAAGATCTTTAGATTTGAGGAATGGGTTTGGTGTTCATGGTCACGGAAATTTAGTGATTGAGACAGGGAGACGAAGAGAGGAATGATGAGTAAGAGGAGATGAGTTTTCATGTTTGATTAATATAAAATATTTTTTGTAGTGTCTCTAGACTTTTGTCGCTTGGGGTTGTGGGAGTCATATGTGGAAGTGTATATATAGTGGAGAGAGCGAAGTAGTGGTGAGTGTGATATTGAAGAATAGAAAATTTACAAGTGGGTTTTGTCTTGAAAACAGACTGTATTCCATTTCCCATTTGTTATTGAGAGCTTTGGGTCCACACTTATGTCCTTGTCTAATGTATTATAGATGCCTCCTCTCTGTATAAATCTACTAAAAATCTACACACAAAAGAATGGTTAATAAAGAATGGTTAACGTTGGTAGGGTTCGTCATTTCGGGTTTTGGTTTGGATTCGGTTCGGTTATTTCGGTTATAGAAAACTATAACCATTCGGTTTTTATATAAACTTCGGTTTGGTTAGGTTCAATTATTTTTCGATTCGGGTTTGGTTCAGTTTCGGTAAAAAGTACATTTTTTTCAAAGAAATTGTCGATTTTTTCGGTTATTTTTTTATTCGATTCGGTTTCGGTTTTTTCGTGTTCAAGAAAATCATAACGGTTCGGTTTCAATGTCGGATTCGGTTTAGGTACGGTTATGTCTTATTCGATTCGGTTCGACTCTATTATTCAGTTAATAACCGAAATGATCACCCCTAAATGTTGGTATTTCTGATCCAAAAGTCTCAAGAGAAGTTACCGCAGGAAGTTATTGTAAGGAAGTTGCAAAGCAGTTTTCTAAGTCGGTTTAGTAACCACTGTTTGCTCTATAAAAGCATGTGTCAATGCTTGGAAGAGAGTATTGCAGATTTATGTTTCAGCGATCAATTGGGTCGGTCTCAAAGCATCGCGAGAGGAAACCGAGTGTTGCGCATTTGTGTATTCGTGAGTGTGTATGTATTTATGTATTGTGTTATGAATGTACAAGTAAATGCAGAAAAGTTTGAAAGGAAAACAGATTTCGGGTGTATTTTTGTTGCGAGAGGGTTTTTGGGTTGTGAAAAATAACAGTTAATATGAAAATACATAGCTAAAACATTGGTCAAACAAAGAGATTAAAAAAATTTGATAGGGATTAGATTGAAGTGATATGGTTTAATTAAAGCGTGAATAATATATGGTTTAGGAACCGTTCATCTTGTTCGTAAAAAAGAATCTGAAGATAATCCGAACCTAATTCAATCATGTTTAATTGTTTTCTTGTTTCGGGTTTTTGATTATTAACTGATCGTTTATGTTTTGGAGACACACTAACAAATCCAGACCTTGCCATTGCTATTAAATTTTAATTTGGTTCAATTTTATGTAAACCGAAAAGTTACCCTGACTTGTTTTGATTGACTGGGTGTCTTATATTTGTATACAACAATTAAGTACCTTATTATCAAATCTTAAAGTATTAACTAAAGTTAACCAGTCAGCTTCGTCCCTTAACCAAAGATAAGGAGTTCGAACTCTACCCTTGAATGGAACAATCCTTGAGACCATTTCTTTACCGCTTTGTTCGCTAACCCATGTACGAATAGAGATCAATCTGAATGTATACGACTTAAAAATACCAATTCATAATTGAATAACGTTTATAACACCCGGTGGTCAGTAAAAAAAAGTATCAACACTAACAAATTGATAGAGAAATAAAGTGGTCAAGTAGTATTCATAGTAGGGTTTACCACTTAGTGATGGGTGCAACTCTTCGTGATAACTATCCAAGATTGGGTATATTAATCGGTAAGGAAGGGAGTAAAGTTCCTTTCCAACCCGGGCTCGAGTCCTCACTTGGAGAGGGATATTCATATGAATTTTTTCGATCCTTTGAAAAATATAGTCGAACCAAAGACTCGATGAACTTGTGGATTATAAAAAAAAGAAACTCTTCATGAACCCGTGGGGATGTCTTTTTTTCTCTATATGAGATGTTGGGAATTCAAATCTGTAAAAAAAAATTCCATTAAACATCGATGTATCAAATATCCTCTATCTTTATTTTAGTTTTTGAAAATCAGAGAGAATTTTTAAATGAAAAAAATTCAAATTTCATTTCAATTTCGTCTCATATTTGGGTTCTGCAATGTTAGTAAAACAACATGATGTTCGCCAACCTGCAAACTCTCTGACCTTCACTGGAACTTGATTCAACAACACAGTCAAGAACGAAATTCAAAGACACACAGATTTACGAGTTCCCGATCTCAGTGTAAGATCGGTACGTCTCGCCCGGACCTGGTTCTCCGGGAATCCACTATATATGTTGGTTTTACAGAAGAGATTACAAGCTCTGTATCGAGCTTCAATGGCGAAAGCAAGAAGATGATCTAACAACCTCTCTCCAATTCCATTTTCCTAGTTTTATATTAAACCAGTAGAATTACAAATAGACCAGAACGCCCTCGACCGTTCTTGACAGCTAGCTTTCAACGCATCGTTTAGGAGTTCTGACTCAGACCCTTTGCTTTAGCCAGAGTCTCTGCCTTCTTACGCCATTTGTGGAAACAGACGGGCAATTTTCAACAAATCTCCACCTTTGCACGTCTGATCTCTTCTCATATAGTCCAGGCCCGGGATTTCCGTAGCTCTATTCTTTAGCTACCCTAAGCAAGTCCATTGCTGCCTGGAACTTGCTCACTGGAACAACTTTCGTAAACACATTTGCTGGGTTTAACTCAGTTCTGATTTTCTCTACTTGCACACGCCCTTGACTGATGATGTCTCTAATCTCCACCTTTGCACGTCTGATCTCTTCTCATATAGTCCAGGCCCGGGATTTCCGTAGCTCTATTCTTTAGCTACCCTAAGCAAGTCCATTGCTGCCTGGAACTTGCTCACTGGAACAACTTTCGTAAACACATTTGCTGGGTTTAACTCAGTTCTGATTTTCTCTACTTGCACACGCCCTTGACTGATGATGTCTCTGATAAAATGGAGTCTAACGTCGATGTGTTTCGTTCTCTCATGAAACACACTGTTTTTGGCTAAGCAAATCGCACTCTGAGAGTCACAGTGTACTTTCACACTGTCTTGCTTAAAACCCAGCTCTTCTACCAGTCCCTTCATCCATACAGCTTCTTTGATCGAATCTGTTAAGGCCATGTATTCCGTTTCTGTTGTGGAAAGTGCAACCACATGTTGAAGCCCTGATTTCCAGCTTACTGTGCAACCACCTATTGTGAAAACAAAACCAGAGATTGATCTCCTGCGATCAAGATCAGTGGCAAAGTCAGCATCACAATAGCCAGTTATTTTAAACTCATTGCTTTTCCTGTATATCAGCTTTACGTTCTGTGTTCCGGTCAGATATCGCAAAACCCATTTAGTTGCTTGCCAATGTTCTTGACTTGGCTTGCTCATGAACCGACTGATAAGTCCAATGCTATAGGCTAGATCCGGTCTAGTCCCAATCATTGCGTACATCAAACTTCCGACGACATTTGAGTATGGAAACTTGTCTCTGTCGAGATACTTCATTCCATCCTGAACTGATTTTAGCTTAAAGTGAGCTCCCATGGGTGTATTCACAGTTTTTGCCTCTGTCATCCCAAAAGAGCCCAGTACCTTCTTGACATATTCTTCTTGAGAAAGTGTAAGAATTCCATCAGCTCTGTTTCTGTCGATGTTCATTCCCAAAATACGTTTAGCCTGTCCCAAATCTTTCATTTCGAATTCTTTTCCCAATAGCTCTTTTAGGTTCTGGATTTCCTCTCTGCTTTTTGATGCTAGTAGCATGTCATCAACATATAGAAGTAGATATATACCTTTGTCACTTCCCAGGTTTTTGAAATAGACACAGGTATCATATCGGCTTCTCCCAAAACCTTGTTTCAGCATAAACTCATCAAATCTCCTGTTCCATAATCTGGGTGATTGCTTTAAACCATAGAGTGATCTTTGTAACTTGCATACGTGATCCTCTTTTCCCTTTACTTCATAACCTTCTAGTTGATTCATCAGAATCATTTCCTCTAGTCTGCCATGAAGGAAAGCTGTTTTAACGTCTAATTGCTCCAGCTCCAGATTCTGAAAATTTACCAGAGCTAACAGGATTCTTATGGAGACGTGTTTAACTACTGGTGAGAATACTTCGTGATAGTCCAAACCCTCTACTTGTGAATAGCCCTTGGCAACTAATCTTGCTTTGAATCTCGGTTTCTCAACCCCTGGGATACCTGGTTTTCTTTTGAAAATCCACTTGCAGCCTACTGTTCTTTTACCTTTTGGAGGTTTCACCAAGATCCATGTATGATTCTTGATTAGAGAATGCATCTCCTCGTCCATTGCCTCTTTCCAATTTTTCCAGTGTCTCCTTCTTTTTGCTTCACTGACACTTCTGGGTTCATCTATCTCTAACGCTTCTGCAATGCTCAAGGCAAACGCTACTATGCTTGCCTCTGAGTATCTAGCAGGTGGAACAATCTGTCTTCTGTTCCTAGCTCTAGCCAGTAAGTAGTCATCCAAATCTTGATCTTCTGGATCCAGTTCTTCTTCTTGACTGTCATCTCTATTTCTGTATGGCGTTTCAGTGTGACCTTCATCTTGAGAGAATTCTGATGAAGTTTCACTTTGTACGTGTTCTGGTTCAATCATTCCATCTGTACCTGAGCCTCTATTTGTTATAGAAGCTCCACCTTGGACTGTATTCTCATTTTCTTGTGAAGTTTTCCTCACCACAGTCCAATGTACCTTATCTGATTTTAACTCCTTGGTTTCTTTTCTGACAGATTCTTTGTTTATCTCTGTTTTCAAATTTTTGTAGACCACATCTTCATTGAAAACTACATCTCTACTGATCCTGCATTTCTGCTCGTCCAACATCCATACCTTGTAGCCCTTTACTCCTTCGGGATATCCCAAGAACACTGCCTTTCTTGCCCTTGGCTTCAGCTTCCCTTGATCAGAGTGTATGTAGACTACAGATCCAAACTTTCTGAGATCAGAGTAGCTCGGATCTTTATCTGCCCAGATTTTCTCTGGCACTTCAAGGTTTATTGCAGTTGATGGTGATCTATTTATCAGATACATGGCTGTCATGGCTGCTTCTGCCCAGAATTTTTCTTCTAGCCCTGATTCTGTCAATAAATAC